CAGTAATGTTATATTAGTGTGTGTATGCTCTTGAGAATATGTGTATGTATATCTGTAATTGTATCTGAATGTGGATGTGGAATATGTTTGTGTATATGCATATGTATGGGGATGTATATGTGGCTGTGCATGTGTATGAATAAGAAAATGTGTATATGTACTGTTATGTATTTCATGCACCCCACGTTTTTCGTTTTTCAATTTTTTTTTTATTATTATTCTCCACTACAAAAACGTGGTTTTTAAAAATATTATTTTTATTTTGAATTTTTTTATTTTAAATTATAATTTTTTTAATTTTTAATTTTGATTTTATATTTTTAAAAAATTATTTTAGAATAGAATTTTCTAGAAAGAACGTGGTTTTTAAAAATATATATTTTTATTTAGATTATTTTTCTTAGTCAAGAGTAGTCAAGACTACTACAAAACCACTACTATAATAATAGAATTTTCATTTTAAATTAGGGACACAAAAATCTTTATAGAAAAACAATACCTTTACGACATTCATCAGTTTTATGCTGATGACAGCCAAAACAATCTGGAAATGAATGAGGAAAAACTGGATCCTACCACGTGATTTTTCTGACAATAAAAATCTTTTCACCTGACATGTAATACTAATTTGAAATAATGGAATCGACAACAAAAGACAATCTCGAAAATAATTTTTTTTTTAAATTTTAATTTTATTTTACTTTGTATGACTTTTTTCTCTTCATTTTCATGCATTGTCATCCAATTCTGAACTATGTACCGAATTTGAAGTTTGTAGCTAGTCGGGAAGTTAGTTTAAAATCGATTACAAAATTCCACCCGGACAGACATACACGAAGGCAAGTTTATATAAACGTGGTAATAAAAAGGGTATAGTCATGAATAATTTACTATTAAAAACTCGAAAACAACTCTCGACAGCTCCATTTAGTGAATTTGCCAAAAAATTATCATTTTCATTTTTAGACATTATTTTTGTGTGAAAAATGAAAAAATCACGTTCATGTAATTTTTAAAAAGGTGGGATTGAACGAGAAAATAATTCCAATTAATTTTCCCATTTCAGTACGATTCCAATAAGATTTTCTATTTTTCATTCATATAAAGACATTTTGCAGGTAAAAACTATTTACAAAAAATTAGTTGTAAATTGAAAAACATTAACTTTTCCATTTGCAAATTACTTTACAACAATAGATTGTAAATAAAAAAACATTCGATTCCAGCTGCAAATTATTTAAGATCTGTAGATTGAAAGTTTTAAAACTTCTGAAGGATCATTTCAGCATATTTTTGTAGAAAATATGAATGCAGTGCGACCCATATATTTTAACATTTGAAAATAGAAAGATTTAACATTAGAAGCATACTAATAGCGTATCTTGCATTATCAGCATTAATAGCATTCTTTTTATTATATAACCGTCGTTGAACAGCTGACCAAATTTAGAGTTACGACTACTATTAATGCTCAACTCTGTAGCCTCGTCATTTTTTTACCCAATCCAGATGAAAAGGGAACTCCTGGATCAAATACTGGGCGGGATTTGCCTTCGTGAAGGAACTAATAGAATTTGCGTTATATGGAGAGGAAAACCACGAAAACCTGCCACGGTTTGCTTGAAGGCAAGGAGACTTTAAGTCATTATAGTCAACCACGGAGAATATTTTAAGTCATCACAGTGGTCGGTGTCATCCGGTTGCGGAATCCGTATCCACCAGCCATCGCTGGTATTCGAACCCGGGTTACCTCGATGCGAGGCCAACGCTCTATTTCCCTATAATATATTTTAACAATAGAAGTTGAAAATGTCATTTATCTGCGTTTTTTTACAGAAATAATTCTTTGTTCTGTGGATAAATACGTCCAAATAAAATTGAGTTTATTCTGATTATGGAATTTAATATATATATTTATAATTTCTAAATTTTCTGAAACGCATAAAAACTTTTACTCAGAATTTCCTTAGTTTATGATTACGTATACCCTCTAGTAAGTTCAAACTTTCTTGATCTTTTTTCACGGAAATCGTCATGAAATAACAAATTTCAATTTCTCAATTAATGCTAAGCAAAATTTCAAACAGTTGCGATGATCTGAGATACCTTATTATAATAACTAAATGGTTTCTTTGTTTGGTAAGTAATAATAACTCTTTGTATCCACTATTTTATTTTCATTTATGTTACTTATTTATTTATTACAACCAAAAGTTAATTTATGATGTATAATCAACGTTATAATAAAATTGATAATGTTATAAATGCTTGTACAATCTGTCAGATACAATTATTTTATTACTAAGCATACTTTGAAATAAATGTGCTAATTTTAAATGTATTAGAAAAAATTTTAATTTACTAATATTATTAGTAACTAAATTTCTCTGTTTACGGTAAAGAATATCACCTTTATTTATTTATTATTTTATATATTTACTTTATTTCTTTGTTTGCTTAATTATTCCAGTATTTTAATTCAATATTTTCTTAAATATTTCAATTATTTACTTTGTTTTGTTTCTTATTTATTTAAATTTTTTGTAAATTCACGATGCTTAACCATTCTCATTTCTATTAAAAAATGTCTTAAATTATAAATGGGTATACAGTTGACAGTTAAAAAGATGTCATAGATAAGTATAATTTCAAATAAATATTTTAATCGGGAATACTTCTCGCAACTTCAATTAATTCATTAATATTACTAATAATTAAAAGTATATTTACTTATTTATTTATTTTATCTTATTTTTTTGTTTTATTTTTTGCACAATTTGTTGATTTGTTTTAGTTACAACTGAGTATTTGAAGAATGCACTCAGTTGTAACTAAAGTTTCGAAAAAATTCTCAATCTTATGCGTCTGTGAGTAATCTAACTCAGTCTGCAAAACTTAAAAGCATTACATTTATTATTATTATTATTATTATTATTGTTCAAAATTTAGATCTTTGAACAATTGAATTTAAAAAATATACGAGTTGTGTATGAAATATTGTCAAAAAAAAGAGTTCAAATTGTAATTCATTTCAGTTCTCAATCAATATTCTTACACGGAGAGGTAAGAAGAAAATACATCCCCCTTTTTAAAAATAAAAAATAAAATTCAAGGCCCTTTTAGGTTCTCGTTTCCGTTGCCTCTTCCTTTCCGCTCTAAATTGCTCTTTTGCCCCTGCAAGTATCTTATTCTGCATCACACTAATTCAGAAAGATACTTTTCTCCGCATCCTCCTTTCTCCCGTTCAACTATCATTTCAATGTGTTTCCGGGTGCCTATTTCTATCCAATTCAAATTTTGACGATGCCTCTTTCGTCGCGATAAGAATCAAGCTTTACATAGTGTGTGTAAGACGATTTTTTTGATATACTTTTTAAAATATTTGGTTCAATTTTATTTGCAATAATTTTTTTAAGTAGATGAATTAAAAACGAAACTGTTGAGTTCTAACGTTAGAAAAATATTTAAAAAAATGCAGACGATATTTATCGAACTCTGTATTTAACATGAATAAAAGAAGTATTTATTTTCAAAAAGAAAAGATTTTAAATACAAATATTGGAGCTAGTAAAAAAGAGATATTTTTTGTCTCGTTTGAAATAAACGCTCAACACATTTAAAAAAACGCTGAAAATTATTATTATGCGTCTTACTGAACTAATTATTGCTATTTACTCTATTATGCAGTATTTGGTCAGGGAAATACAGCGTTTAGGAAAGAAAATAGAAAATATGGAGAAAAATTCTTCAACATTTTGATCTTTTTTTCTTCGCAAAACCGTTAAAAAGTTAAATTAAATTAGCACTTTTAAGCATGTATCGTATTAATTTTTCCGTTTTAAAAGTTCTGATAAATATTTTTGCTATTGAAACTTTTAAACGCCTAATTTAAACTAAAAAAGTATTTTTAATGAATCGAAAATGAAAAAAAAAAACGCATGTAGAAGAAACATGTATACCAAAAAAACATATACTATTCAGAAACTGTTTATCGCTGGCTGTATTATATTAAATATTTAAAAAAACAAGTTAAAGAAATTCTAAAAATTCTTTAGTTCTCATCTCTTTCTAAAGATGTTGTATAGTGAACTGATATTTTACCATCAGAATGGTGTTAAAAGTAAAAACTAAACGATAAAACTATTATCAAAAATTTAACTAAAATTCAAGAAAAAGTTGAGATAGTCGATTAAAGTAGTCTCTACTAAGCTTAATATGACGCATAAATTTAATCACTGACATACTGAAAAGATGAAACCTGTTATCTTTGAGGGGAAAGAATTGAAACAAATATTTTATTCCTTTATTTTATGATATTCTTTAAAAAATATATATATTAATTTTGCCGAAAGAGAAGTAGAGATTTAAAAAAAAGTTCATTTCTTATGTGAACAGTTTTTTACAAAATAATTATTTTTTAATGAATGACTTTATTACCTTACAGACTTTCAAATAGCTAACTTAGTAACAAAAAAATAATAGTTTTTAATTTATAACCGACATTTGATTAATTATGTATTATATAAAGATCTACCAGTAGAGATTTGAATTTTCATATTGAAGTAGAAATTAAAAACTGACATTTTTTACTAATTTTTATTAAATTTAAATTTTATTTGATTTATTATATGTTATATAAAGAAGTATATAAATAATTCCACACATAAATCTTCTACTCTCAGAAATTTGAATTTGCATATTAAGTCGAATTGAAGATGACATTTTTTACTTATTTTCATTAAGTTTTGAAATTTGTTAATTTAACAGTATAAAAAAATTGAAAACAATACGGGCAATTTTGAAATAATTCGAAAAAAGATATTTCTTCAGGAAAATTGTAGAGAAAAAGAAAAAAATTTTTCAATAATAATAAGTTAATATTTAATTTTTTTTTTTTTTTTTTTCATTTTTCTTATACATCAGTAACAAAAATTAAGTTTAAAGTAAATAAAAGTAAGAGGGACAAAAAGTTTTTAATATTTTTAAATTTGTGAACTTACCGTTTGTGCCTCTCGTAGTCTTCATCCAAATCCTGAGCTCGTGCCATAACAGATAAGATTTTTTCCTTTTCTGCTTCAGACAAATCGCTTAAATCTAAACCCAAATTCTCGTCCATCATCAGTTGTTGTTGTTGCTGTTTGGCCTGCTGCTGCTGTTGTAATTGTTGCTGTTGTTGTTGTACTTGTGTCAGGGGTCGCAGGGGCGTAACTTGCTGGGGCGCCCTTGCTTGCGGAACTGGTGTTTGCGGCACAGACCCGCGAAACCTCGCTGGTTGTTGTACTGGAGGTTCAGCCCATGGTTGAACGCCCACTTGAACAGGGCGAACTGGTTGACTCTGCTGCCTAGGGCCACCGCCAGGAAATGCACCCCCCATCACCGGCTGGGGTGGGCCCGGGCCACCGGGCCGGAGTATCGGTCGGCCTGTTGGGGCCACTTGCCGCATGCCCGGTGCCTGTTGAGTAGGGCCCCCGAACCGGGGCTGAGGAGGTCCGCCGCCCATTCCAAAAGGGGTACCCTGTTGCGGTTGTCCGGGGGCGGCGGCTCCCCCTTGTTGGCTCTCTTCATTCCCCATGTCAGAAGAGGGTCCGTACGCGCCCTGGTTTTACGGCGCCCGGTCGCCACCGGCAAGGGGGCCACATGGCGATGGCGATGAACGCCCTGAAGGGCGACCTACTGTTGTTTCGCTGTGACACTCTTCGGTGAAATTCCGCGGTTATTCAGTCACTCACAACACTCGCCCTCGGGTGGGGCTGTCACTACTCGCTCAGTTCCTAGGGTTGAAAGACGACGCCCCTGCGTCGGCGCGGCATCATGGCGGTCTGCGGAGTGACTCATTGGAATTCCGGGGGTGATCGGCGGCTAGGGACCATTGCGCAGGCGTCGCTTCTGGAGAAGGGGACATTTTCTTAGAGCTTTTCGGCTCTGCCACCCACTCTTTGATTTGTGAAATTGTAAAACGATTGAAAGAAGCATCAGAAAATCAATTTTTTTTCCCTCCATCCAATCAAAACTAATAAAGAAATTTCAGTCATTAGTTCTGGAATACTTATGGACATTTTCTCTCTATTCTTCATTATAATAAATTTAATACAATATTTTGCACATGATCTGTACTTATTAAGATAAATTATTCCATTTATTAAAAATCTTTTTAATACTTAAAATTGCTCTAATTAATATAACATCTCTTAGAAGAATTCTAGATTAAAAAATAAAATAAAAATTTTAACATTGAAAATTCCTTCTAAAACGTTCATTCCTTTGATGAATATAATTTTTTTTAATAAAGTTGACACTTAAATATTAAATCAGTTTCTAACAAAACGATTAACTACATATAAACGAAGAAGACGATTTACTGAATAAAATTATTTTTCTATAGAAAATAATATTTTATGGAAACTGTTAATTAACAACAAACTTTTAGTTTTCTTTGCCTTTCTCTATTCCGGCAGTCATCATTATTATTTATTTGGATAACATTTGATCATCCATGACTACTGATTAAAGTACAGTGAGCAAAATAAAAAACGGAGCACCATCAATAACTTTTGATCTAATAATCGGATCTTCACTTTATAGAACTCAATCTTAATGGTTCGAAAGGGTGACCTCAATTAAGCTAATTAATTAGTGCAGACGATATTTCAAGTTACGAAATCATACGTAAGAGCGTACTTTCTCTGAATAAGTATACTTTTTTTTTCCGTCGGTTTTGAATTTTTGACCCCCAAAATATAAGGGGTTATCCGCAGTCTGAGAAATATTGACCAATAGTTTGGTCGGGATAGGGGTCCAAAGTTTGAACCCTTTTATTCTACTTTTTGTGTATTTTGCCATATCTCGAGAAATTCCGAAGCGAATTGAAAATTTGTTAAACACAATTATAAAATGAGTTTACCCGAAGATAATTCCTTGCAAAAAATAACTTTTGATAAATATTTATAAATTTTCATTATATTTAATATTTACTGAGAAGATTTTGGATATTGAGACATGCAATTTCTTTCTTCAACTTAATGAATATAATTTACGTGGTAAAAATGCAAATTTTCAGCAAAATCGGTTGAATAGTTCATAAGAAGTTTAATTTTAAACATCTGTTGTTGTTTTTTTAATTCAGTTTCTCAGGAACTATTCAACCGAATTTGCTCAAATTTTGTATTTTACCATGTGAAATTATATTCCTTAAAATGATACCTGTGTACCTTCACTTCAGACCACTCTCCTGACCAAACTATGGGGACCCTATTTCCCAGATTGCGGCTACCCTCTTACATTTTGAGGGTCAAAAATACAAATCCGTAGAAAAAAGATGTTTATTCAGAGAAAGTACGTTTTTGCGTCCGATTTCGTAACTTTAAATATCGCTTGCACTTAATTAGCATATTTGAGGTCACCTCCTCGAATCATTGAGAACGAGTCTTAGAACGAGAAAATCCGATCATTATAACAAAAGTTATTTACCGTAATCCGTTCTTTATTTTGCGCACTGCACAACAAAAACTTTCAGTTATTCCAATTATTTTAATATTAACTGTTCTGATAATGAAAAATTGAAAACATAAATCGTTTGGTTTTACTGATTTTTTATTTATTTAAAAGGATACTGAAACATTTTTAGAAATAAAAATCAGTTTCACATTGCAGCGATATTTATGTAAATCAAGTTAAAATCAGCATTTTCTGAAAAACTCGATTTTCAATCTTCCACGTAGAGTATTTCATTTCATTTTTATCAGGTTCCCTTACATTTTTAACATTCCAAAAATTTTACTTTTAAGCAATTAAAACTTCTTAACTTCATTCAAAGAAGTATAAATTGAATAGCTAACTTATATCGCTTGGAAGCAAATTTATATGTCCATAGTTATTACATAATATAGTTACAGTAATAACTGTATTATAGTTAATAATAACAAATAATATAACAGTTAAAGTCTTATAGTAAATGTCGATATTTGTCTTTCATATACTGAACTTATCAATTAAAAGTAACGTAGTCCTATACGTTGTCCCTGAATTAATTTCTTCTCTAAAGTAATTTACTTTCTCAATAAGAGCTATCATCGAGTTTTTTGATGTTCATCTTTGCGTTACATTTTATTTTGCCGGGAAAAAAACTATTATTCTAAAAAAAATAACGAAAAACAAATGATTATTAGAAAATCTACAGCGATGACGATGCAATAAAAAGTTCGATATCGAATTAACATTCGATAATTAGTTCTAAAATTATTTATATTTAAATTGGGAGTAAAAAATACCACGCGTATCACTCCGCAGCTCCGAAAATGTAGCTTCAGTAGTGAAGATCATATCTAAATTTTAATCATTATTAAGTTATTGCAAATTTGAGTGCATTTTTTCAGATCTTTTTTACTTCTCTTTTGACTTTCCAACAATGACCATGCATCCTTTTTTGAATAAAAAAAAGTGGTAAAATTTATTTATCTCATGAAATTTTAATTTTAAAAGTTCGTTCTTCTTTCTAGAAAAAAGGAAAAGGTTGCACTAAAATCGTTAAGGTTTACCATAATTGTTATTTTTCAATTCATTCAACCGAAAAAATTTTTTTGAATAGTTATTACTTCACAAAACCGAAAGAAAGATAAAATGGCCTTAAGAATATAAGTTCATAAAGTAATAAAGTATTAAAAAAGTGGCCAAAACCACACTTTATTTTAAAGTAAGTTGTTGTTGTTGTTGTTGTTGTTGTTGTTGTTAATTTACGTCGCACTAGAGCTGCACAATGGGCTATTGGCGACGGTCTGGGAAACATCCCGGAGGATGATCCGAAGACATGCCATCACAATTTTGATCCTCTGCGGAGGGGATGGCACCCCCGCTTCGGTAGCCCGACGACCTGCGCGCGATGTCGAGCACTATTTTAAAGTAAGAAAGTAATGCTTTTGCATATAAGTAAATGTCGCCAGGTGGCCGATCGGTCAGTCTGCGAAGCCAGTGGTTGCGGGTTCGATTCCCGCTCAGGGGATGAATGTTTCTCTCTGTGTGTTGCTCTCTAATGTATGAATGTGGCCCACCCTATGAACGGGTATTTGTGGCAGTGTGGTGTGTGCTTGCTTCCGTGACTCATGTTCACAGATGCCCACCCGGTAAGGCTAAGCAACACTTCCGGCATCTTCCGAGGCAAAGGAACGAGAGATCTGTTCCTGCTGCTAAAAAAATGAACTAAGTAAAAACGTATAAGTCAATGAATATACAGGAGAGCTCTGATTATTCACGAGTTCCGCTAAGTGGTCAAACCGTAAAAACGAGTGACTGAGTATCTTTTTTTTTTAAAGAAGGATGGGAAAAAAGTATGCATGAATACTTTAATGAGGCATTATTGTATTTTTTTTCTATTACTATTCGTTGTCAGAGTGATTTATACGAAGATTTCTGTTATCTGCTTAAAATATATTTGTTAACGGTGAATGAGAGAAATGGGTGATTGTTGACTTCCACCGGTATATGTTGACAAACACATAGTCACCTTGGTACATGTCTGAACATGTATACTAAGTATACATGCATACTAAGTCAAGATAAGTGCTACTGCCTGGTATGCATTTGCCCGGTATGCCTTACATCAATGTTTTTGTAAGCTCAAGTGCCCAGTATGCATTTAACCGGTAATCCGAACAATGATGTTTCTCCTAATCTATCCTTAACAAATATTAAAATTTCGAGTAAATGTAATGTTATCAACGAATAAATTTATATCAAATCGGATATAACAAATATTTTGGACATTCACCAAAGCAACTATGTTATATATTGACATTCGCCGGTGAAAGTCGAGATTCTCTTGATTTCCCTCATTCACTGTAACATGTATGAATACCTTTTAAAATAATTATTCGTATTTCCACCTTACTTATGAGTTTTCTCATATTATCCGCGCTGCTCAACTCTATTCTTCCCATTTTCAAAAAATGCACTGTGGTTGCATGATCGGCAGGATATTGATAAATATATTATTAATAAATATAGTATTCATTATACTACATACTATGAAATTATACTATTTATCAATTTCCGTCATAAATCATGCATCAACTGACTCAAATGTGCTGTGAGGGTCAGAAAAATGGATTGTGTTTTGTAACACGAAGACATTATATAATAAATAAAAAATGTTCGGCAAGTAAAGTAAGTTATGCACTTTGGCCATCAACTGTATCAGCATTTGTACTCCAAGTCACTATTTGTGAATATAAAAGTTACAAGAATTGCACTTTTTTTTTAACTATTAGTATGCTCACTAACCACCGTGATTGTTTGTTTGTATTTTAAGTGGATATTTTTCAAAAGAACAAAAAAAAAATTATATTAAAATATACAAATAATTTTTACAAATACTTAATTTTACAAATAATTTTACTGTTACAAATGTATATAAATACGTACTATTATTATGAATGATTTCAAAAAGAATCAACCACTGCATTGAAAAAGGAATCAAACTTAGAAAAAAAAACAGAACGTAAGGAAGAGAAATAAAAGATTAACTCATGAACAATATTCAACGACTCACTTCATATTATTCTGTCGATACAACGGATTTTATTTCTGGAATTAAGTTTATTATATACATACATAGTTAAAAATTTCGATATAAGATATTATGCGTGGCAGCCTTTAAACCCTCTCTTTTCTAAAACTTCTTTCAACATCAACTAAAGCACGCGCATATAAAATAAAGACTCGAGGAAGATAAATGAATTTGATAACAATTATATAGTCATTACTTAAAGCAAAGAAAACATTCGCGAAAAAAGCAGTTATAATTATCAAAATTTTCGAA